TCATTAACACAATTATTATTCCTCCATGCCAAAAAGGCAGGAAAGTTGTTCTAGAAATTCTACTCAACTAAACGCGAGCATGAACGATGATGAAAAACTCTTTTATAATAACTTGTTATAATCATTTGGGTTTATAACATGCATAATAAATATATAAGTTATGATGTATATATTAATATAAAGAGTGCTTAGTATGCTATGAACTATATGATATTAAGCACTAATTTATTTATTTATTTTATGTTTTCGATTTTATGTTTTCTTGGAACTTTATTATATTAATATTTATTTATTTAATTTGGTCAAAGGTTAAAAATTGTGACCAAATCGTCAGAGACTTAATTTTGTCCTTAATGGGGCTAAATGTTTGAAAATAAAAGTATGATAATTGAAAACTCCCTTGAAGCAAAATTCGAGCTCAATTATCATATAATAAAAGTAATATATTTTAGTTTATTTTTTCACCTGAAATGTTATGTAAGATTAACTAAAGCTATTATTTTTCCTAAAGAGTATTCCCATATATATTTCTAAAAAGCATTATTTTATTTCAAAATATGAAAAAAAAATTATATCAGCTCTTAAAACCATTTAAAAATTCCTTTCATAATATTAGTTATTTTTAAAAAAACAAAAAACTTCATTGAACGCATTAAAACTTTTCTGAAATTTTTGTAAATTTCTATAATTAAAATTTAAAGTCTTTAAATATGTATATATATATATATATGGAGGAAATGACAAATATNAAAAATAACAACTAATATATTTTAGTTCGCGGGCCACAAAACAAGACTTCGCGGGCGGGATTAGGCCCCCGGGCCGCCAGTTGGAAACCACTGCTCTAGACAATACACGTTTCCCGTAAAAAGTAGAAAAATAGTTTTAAAAATATATAAATAAAAATCATTAACACAATTATTATTCCACCATTCTAAAAAGGCAGAAAAGTTATTCTAGAAATTCTATTCATCTAAACGCGAGCATGAAGAATGATGAAAAACTCTTTTATAATAACTTTTTTATAATTCTTTTATAATGATCATTTGGGTTTCTAACACTCATAATAAATATATAAGTCATGATGTATATATTAATATAAAAAGTGCTTAGTATGGTATGAACTATATGATATTAACCACTAATTTATACATTTATTTTAGGTTTTCGATTTTATGTTTTCTTGGAACTTTATTGAATTAATTATTTATTTAATTTGGTCAAAGGTTAAAAATTGTGTTGAATTGTCAGAGACTTTATTTTGTCCTTAATAGACTAAATGTTAGAAAATAAAAACATGATACTTGAAAATTCCCTTAAAGCAAAATTCGTGCTCAATTATCACATAATATAAATGACATATTTCAGTTTATTTTTTCACCTGAAATTTTATGTAAGACTAACTAAAGCTATTATTTTTCCTAAAGAGTATTCTCATATATACTTCTAAAAAGCATTATTTTATTTAAAAAAAAAAAAAAAAATTATATGAGATCTTAAAACCATTTAAAAATTCCTTTCATAATATTAGTTATTTTTAAAAAAATAAAAAACTTCATTGAACGCGTTAAAACTTTTCTGAAATTTTTATAAATTTCTTCAACTTAAATTTAAAATCTTTAAATTTGTGTATATATATATACTGAATTCGAATTCTTGGAGGAAATGACAAATATACCAATATTGGAGAACCATAAGTTATTTGTTAAGTTAACTGGTTTGCTCATTATCTAAGCTAATTTCTTATCTAAAGCTTAAATTAGCTTTTTTAACTTAATTTGTTTATTATTTAAGTTCATTATTTTATTTAATATGGATTAAAAGAATGATAAAGATAAAATATTGAAAATAATTGTCTAGTTTGCTAAGTAATTTGCTATTTTCTTGTAACATTGCTATAAGCTGAATATTACTTTAAAAAATAATTACAATTTTGAATATATTTTCAATTTTAGATGTCTTGAATAATTTATCAAATTATTTTTACATAAAATATTAAAAATAATTGTTTAATTTGTAAAGTAATATTGCTCCTTTGCTATTAATATTGCTATAAGTTGAATATTTTTTGAAAAATAATTTCAATTTTAAATATTTTTTTAATTTTATTTTTAAGCTTTTTTTTTTAAATTTTAGATGTTTTAAATAATTTATCAAAAATACTTTTAAATAAAAATATTTCAAGAATATTTTTTATTTACTTTATAAAAGTTTCCATTATTCTATTCTGAGACGAGTGATGAATTATAAAGACAGCTAAAAATTTATTTAATATCAAAATTATAAAAAATAAAAAATTTCAATTAGTTTTAGTAGTGAATCATCCCATTAAAAAGTACCTCACATATTTTTCAGCTTATTATTACATTGACTTATAACGGACACATTAATAACATTTTATTCTCACTGTAGTATATAAGTAAGATGAAGTTCTTTTCGTTCCCTTTTTAAGTTAATCAATTCTCTTTCCCTGCCGTCAGGGACAAACTGCTCACCCCGTTCATTTCTTGCCGGCCCCCGGTACCGGTCCTTCCGGCTGGTGCGCTCGTGATAGATGAGACTGTCGTTCCGCGTTAGGCACGGCCTCCGCCCCAGGTTTCCCCCCTTTTCTCGATGCCCACCCCCACCCCTACACGTGTCGCCCGACAGTTATGATTAAAATTTTAATGGAATCTCCGCCAACAAATATTGTTTATGAAGTGTGAAATTAAGGCAATGAAACCACGACGCTCCACCGCCATGCGCCAGTAATTCGATTAAAGGGGAGGAAGTCTCATCTTTTGGGGATGCATTTGAGGGAGTGATGCGCAACAGAAGACAGTCTTAACTTTTTCTTGCCCTTGTCCTTGTTTTTGTCTTACTTTATCAGATACTTCAACCAATCGGAGATTTCTTTATTGAACCAGCTCAGTATTCAATTTGGTAAAAATGTATCTCTGAAAGAATTATTCGTTTTCTTTCTTCTGATATGTCTGTTTGATTACAATTCTATTCGAATATTTCTTCGAAGATCCTAAACTAATTAAAATATTTGTGTTCAATAAAACTCGTAAGCCTTCACGAGCTTTAAATCATTTTTCTGTCATTGCTCAGGATTAATACTTAGGCTAGGCTATTGAAATATGGAGAGTTTTAACTTCATTCTTAAATTTTGTTTCTATTAGAACCTGAAGGGAGATGAGAGGTATTATCTTCAATTGGGAAATATTTTTAATATTAGCATTCAAATCCGATATTAGTTCGGTGGTAATTTGTTTATTGGAGTGCTATAAATGAAGATTTAAAGTTTTTTTAAAAAAAAATCGATTTTTCTAATCAAATAACTATAATTTTAATGAAAAAAATAGCCTGTTAAATATGTTTTAATGTCAAATGTTTTAATTTTTATTCACCATCTTTAAAATATTCCCCCTTAAAAAATAAGCAAATAAATGATAACAAAAAAGGAAGAAGAAAAATGTTTCTAAGCCATTCAAGTTTCATAACTATACACTCGTAGAGAATTTGATTCAATTTTGAACTAAATCATTGGTATTTGGTTGCAAGCTGGTTGTAACCCTGAAACTGAGTAAAATTGAACCATATTTTCTGTCGAGTTGATCCGTAATATCATGTAATCAAGTTTAAAATGCACGTTAATAAGGTTCCATTTAGCGACATGTTAAGGTATTTAGATAAGGTAAATTTGATCATACGTGACACCAGAATTTTTAATTTGCAGCTGAATTCCTGTAAAAAATGACAAATATGCCAATGTTGAAAAACCTTAAATTAATTGATAAGTTAATTGATTCGTTCATTATCTAAGCTTATCCAAGCTAATTTCTTATCTAAAGCTTAAATTAGCTTATTTAAGCTAATTTGCTCATTATCTTATTTAATATGTTGCAACAAATACTAATGATATAATGATTAAGCACGTTAAAAAATATCTAAGAGCATAGATTTAAGTCCACAGTTCCCTTACATTTACATAAACACATTGAAAGATAAAAGAATTACTTGGATGGCGCAAGTGTTAATTTTAAAAATATTTTATTGAACAACTGCCTGTTAGTGAAAATGGAATGAAACTTACTAAAAATTGATAATTTAACTTATTTTCATAATTAAAGAGTTTAAATGTACTACTGTAAAGAAGAATGACTCATAATTTTGCAATCTATATTTGTGGAGAGATTTAACTTTCCAAAATAAAATTGTTACAGATGAAACAAAATTTCGGAAGTTCCTAAATTTAAATCTTTTTTTTTTTTTTTCATCTTACGTGTTCCTGAGGATAATATACTACTATTGTGCTCAAAATCCTCTAATTCAAAACTAGTTATTGAGCTGAACTAATTAAAAGTGCCTTAACATTTGTGCTTATTTCTAATATAAATGAAAAATAACACGTTTTTCTTAAATAACTGAGCTACATTATAGCCAGGTTTCATTGTATATGTTGGTTTAAAAAGAAAACAAATGCTTACTAAATGCACCAACATTAGATAAATATCCATTTTTTGCAAAATTTACTATGGAAATTTAATTGATCAGTACATTTAGTGCTAACTAAATAATTTTAAATAAGTATTTTATAATTAGTAACTTAATTGCCTTGTGTTTTTCACAAACAAATGCTTACTAAATGCACCAACATTAGATAAATATCCATTTTCTGCAAAATTTATTATGGACATTTAATTGATCAGTACATTTAGCGCTAACTAAATAATTTTAAATAAATATTTTATATTTAGTAACTTAATTGTTTTGTATTTTTCAATTGAATCAAACCATTTATACGACTGTTTAGAAGTGAAAATTTAAAAATGTGCAATAAAAATTAACTAAAACTTCTAAGCTATACAAATGAAATATATATAAACTACATCTTTTTAAATCTCTCTTCATAACATAAACTAAATTGTCTGAACTAGTAAGTATTTATTTTCATTAAAACTATTGAAAACAATACTTAAGTTCATGATGGTTATTAAGAGTTAAAGAACGAGACGTAAACATTATATAGGTAATTTAATATTGAACTATATCGATTTATACAATATTCTGGAGGAATTTTTTCTTGAGAAATGTCGACGCTGTCATGAAATCCTTTCCATTGTTTGGTTCCGGAGAAACATTTGAAGCTACTTCCGCAACTGGTACAACTGTACATTTCCTTCGTTTTTTCAACGTTGCTTTACCCTAAAAAGTTTTGAAAAAAATGTCCTTATTTTTCATAAACAACTTATTTATAAATTTCCTTTGCTAAAGTCAGTGATCTGCAAACAAAGAACAGCATAACAAAACATTAGCTGCATAGAGATTAACTCTAGTCCAAAGTTTTTGAAATTAACTTTCACGTAGAAATGATATTCAAGAATTAAATTAATAAAATGAAACCCGATCGATCGGTATTCCTGTTATAATATTAGATTTGAAAACAAAACGTTAGCTGTACAGAAAGGGATAAAGTTTATTTTAATAGAATAATTCGTAGTTCATTCAAAGAAATATTTTCATTCAAATTGTAATTCAATTATGATGTACAATTAGGTGTATTTTGACATTTATTCTTATTTTGTGTATTTATTCTTCAGATTTTATTACTATCTCATTTTCAGTAATTTTCAAACAATATCGAGCGTTACAGAAACGTCATTTCGAGAACTATTAATTATGATCAAACGAAACAAAGCACTTTTCTTTGTAATCAAAAGTATAAATTTACTGTATAAATTATTCTGTATTTTTTTTCTTTTTATGTTGCAGTGGCGTGCATAGGTAGACTATAATGGCCCCAGTTTTTCAACTGAAGAGGGCCGCCAAATAACGAATAAAACACCGAAACTAAATATATTATTACTATTATTAAATTAAATGTTTACACAGGTAAATATTTGGCACTTACAAATACTTTATGAAGAATAAAGAAGATTTTCAAAAGAATTTAATAGCGGAGTTTAAGAACATAAAAATTTAAATGCATTACATTAAAATATATATATATATATATATATTTCTTTTTTGTTACATTCTTAACCATAAAATTATTTCCCCTCTTATGTAACAAATATTAAAACAGTTCAAGCTAAAAAAGAAAAAAAAAGTAAGATTCTGATCGAATTTTTAAATTAATATTTGATTAACTTTCATTTTGCTTCACTTTTGATGATGTAAATAAGTTATTGATAGTNATTTTCCAAGAGACTAAATACTTTATCCAGTTCAGATACTAAATATTTTAAACGGGTTTGATGTAGCTAAAAATTAAATGAATAAATGTTTATTTAAAAATCCGTGAATAAATTTCAAAATGAGTTTAACATAGATAGAAAAAAATTAAAAAAGTAAGAAAAATTAAAAAAAAAACGTGTTAAACGTGTTTTGACGGAACTTGGGAATCAGAATTTATTACGACAATGGGTGCGACATGAATTCCATTTAAAATATTTGATTTTTAAAAATATTTTACTGTCCCGCGTCACGGACAATCAAGTACTATAATTTCTTTTAAAACTTAAGGTTTTAATAACTAGGATTTTTTTTTTCAATGTATTCTCATTTGGTACAAATATATTTCAGGTGTTGATACATATTTAAAAAATATTATTTGATTAAACTGCTATCAATTTGCTAATGTCACGTAACGTGTACCTGCGAATCGTACTGTAGAGGCTGTTGGTTGCGACAGCTGAGATAGCATGAAAAGCCGAGGTAGAAGGATCGAGTATTGGATCGAAGACTGCGACTGCTAACGGCAATACAGGAGTGACTAAGTTAATACACCTCTCACATTCAGCACTCAAAAAAGTACGGTGATCTTAATACAGCTCCCCCGGCTTCTCATAAAACAGCAATGAATCAACTAGTGGTATCCGTTCATCGAATTCTATCACAGATATAATTCTGGTGGGGGAGTACTGTAGCGTATCTACCACTACAAAATTACAACTACAATTCTCTAGTATATAAGACATGTTAACTCGATTCTATGTTGGGGTACCTTTTCATAGATGAAGGTGGACATTGTCGATAGCTACCAGCCCCACATTGGTGACCCGGCCGTGTTGTGAACATGCCTACCTTGGCAGTAACGCCCACTTCGATATGAACACGCCTATCTTGACAGTAACGCCCACTTCGATCTGGAAACGCCTACTTCGATGAATGGTCCACATTGAACAGTTGACTTGCTACTTGTGACTGCGACATTGTCCACCTCCTCGCACTGTTGCTACTCAGTCTCATCACGATTACGCACAACGTCAGCTTGCATACACTCGACTGCTAACTGCAACACCGGAGCGACTACGACCGTGAAGTTAATACACCTCTCACATCCAGCACTCAGAAAGTACGGTGATCTTAATACAGCTCTCCCGGCTTCTCACAAAACAGCAATGAATCAACTAGTGGTATCCGTTCATCGAATTCAGTCACAGATATAATTCTGGTGGGGGAGTTCTGTGGGGTATCTACCACTACAAAATTAAAATTACAGTTCACTAGTATATAAGACGTGTTAACTTGATTCTATGATGGGATACCTTTTCATAGATGACGGTTGACATGTTCTATAACTACGACTAGCCCCACACGTACTATATAGCGTTTTGTGAAGGTTTTCCTTTTTTTTTAAATTTTTAATATGGGTTTAATATGTTTGTTTTTTTAAATATGGAATAAAATTGAAACAGGCTCAATTTTAAAACTGAGAAAAAACTTCATACCATAACATATTTCACTAGTTTTTTTCCCAAATGTGCAATTAGCAGGTTTTGCAATTCAATGCCCTTGAGCCGCAGTGACTCAGGAGATAGAGCACCCAATGAGGTGATCCAGGTTCGAATCCCAGCGGTGGTTGGTTGATACGAATTCTGTTCCCGACTCTCACCGACCACAGTATAGAAGTAAAATATCCTCAGAGGTAAATAGATCATGTGTTGGAGTCCCCTTGCCTTCGAGGTAACCATGGAAGGTTTTCCTCTCCATGTAACGTAAATGCTGGTTAGTTTAATCAAAACGTCCTCCACGAAGGCTATTTTATCCAAATGCTCGATCCAGGAGTTTCCTTGTCTTCTATATTGGGTGCAAAATTGCAAGGCTACGGAGGTGAAAATTGCCAGTCGCAAACTCAGAATTGTGTCAGCTGTTCAACGTCGGTTATAACATCACATAAAATTGAATACCCTAAATTTGGAAACCTGAAACTATTTGAAAACTCGTGCTTATCTTGAAGTGTGCAAATTTATAAATATATAATGTTATTTACCTCGTCTTTGTTTATAATTGGCACCACAAAACTTGTAGATGCTTTAGATTTGTTTTTAGAGAAAAATGACAAGAGATATCGATAAAGTCCGGAATTCACGCTCACAGGATTGTATACATCTCTTTTCTCTAGCTTCTCCATGGATTCCTTGACTTCCTGCATAGAAAAATTAATTAACTGGATACCAATAAATTTTATTACATTTTCATGCTTAAACATATTTTTTTTTTAAGATTAAGATTCTTTAACTGTAGTTTTAGCTTTTACTTTATTGAAAACATACCAACACGGTATATAGTCTGTTTAAAAGAACATTTATTTATTAGCTAAACATGTTGAAACTAATGACAGATCTAAAAGTAATATGTTTTCCATAACAGCCATGAAACACCCCCTCGTTCTGTAAAAGTGATATTTGTTCCAACAATAATTTAAATAATGCATGCATAGTACCGTTTTCCAATCTTACATTTTTGTTTCAACTTAACACTGACTAATAAACTTTCTCAATCTTCCTTAAATCAAGCAACATCCAAGCTAATTCCTTTAATATCAATTTCAACACATGAATTTTAACTTGTTTTTTGTTTCGATATATTAAAACTTGTCGAAGGAATTCCAGATAGTTTTAATCTTGATCAGTTGACGTGCTCAAAGTCAAAACGTAAATATATTTTCTGCAATTGATCCACCGAAAAGTCAAAATAATTATGTATTTGCATAATTCGACAAAAGCTGCTTTGCAATGGAGTTATTCAAAAATGTTTCTAAATATGAAGGGAAAATTTGCATTCAACTAGATATTATTATTATAAATAATTATATCTAGTTGAATATTATAATTATAAATAATTTTTTTAAAAAGAAAATTCACCTTTTTTCTATTAATTACACTGGGGAACAAATGTTTTGTTTAATTTATACAAATACTTGATCATACCTAATTCGGGGGGGGATTTCACATCGAAAATAAGTTTTGCTTCTAAAGTTACAAATATTTTTAAAAGACAATGTTGATCTAGTTTTTTGTCGAAATAAGCAATTTTAAAGTCCTTATATTTAATAGGGGTCGTATAAAATGTTTTAATAAACTTCTAGAAGAGTTAGATCATATCATTAGGATTAAAATTGCATATGGACCCATTTGTGGAAACGTCGGTGTAAGAGGCAAGGGTCGCTTCCCTATTATGGCCTGCACAGAAATACATAGAACAGCTCATTAAAAGGAAGCTCCCCTAACGGCGTATGATGACATTTCCGGGTATAAGTTTTATGCAATTCTTCTTCTTCTGATGTGTCCTAACTCCCCCAAATATTTGTCACAACAACTACGCGGCCCTGTCATAAATATAGATTTTAAACTTATACATTTAGCCTAAGATTTATTCTTAGATTTACCCTGGAGAGACCGATTGCAGATTTGAAATCAGTGATGTAAAAATACCCAAAATCCATTAAAAAAATCTCATTCAACGGATGAAAAAAAATTTCTGATGTTATTAATTCAATGCAACTTATTTATTTACACTTTTTTTTCAAGTTCGTAATTGGTACTCGCAATTTACGCCTTTTTTATTCTTCAATGCAAATTTTACATTTCATTGTAAAGTTCATGCCATATTAAATAACTACGATTTTATAAAAACTACGACTGATAAAGTAAAACTGAAAAAAAAAATTATAAGAATTTTAACAGTGCAGGCGTTAATTTAAAAATTAGCATATACTCAAATCTAACATTAAATGAATATTTTAAAAATATATGTTAAAGATATTTTTTTAAGGAAGTAAAGTGAAGTGGGAAAATTTACCAGCGTCAGCTCTTCAGGAATTGCATTTGAGTCAGATAGAGTTAGTGGAAGTAATAATTCCTGGGTGACAACGGATTTCACGAGCAGTGCATTTTTAGATGGAAAAAGCACAAAGTGGCCAGCTGGTATCACTTTATCTGTAGTTCCAGATAGATTTATGCGCTTCTTGGTTAATAAAACCATATTTTTTTCGTACAAGTAGTTAACAATAGCTGTGAATTCTTGCTCACATCTTTCTAATTCGTCCCAATCCAGTTTCCAACACTGAGTGGCAGCTAAAATAGGAAAACTCATTTTTAATGATATTAATTGGGTACTTGCACTTTGAGAAAAAGAAGATCATGGCTGGTTGTTGATAAGCAAAATAGCGTGTTTAAGTTGAGCTAAGATTCTTTTCGTAAGTTAGAATGTTAATTAACGTGAAGTTAATTGAATACAATGCCCTATCGTAAATAGAATTCATTATTTCTCTTTTACGTGATTTACTTAACTTAGATTTATTATTTGTTTTTGTATTTTGTTGTAGCTGTGACATATTTTTGCTTTGTGTACCTGGCAACTTCGACGCATAATTAGTTTGTTTATGTTCTACATGACTTCGTGACGGTCTTTGTGTTAAGTAAGAGGTATTGTGAAAGAACTGAAATATTTATGAAATAATCATTGTAAAGGAATGTAGAATGCGCCACTTAAGATAATTGATACGTAACGGGCTCGACTTACTCGAAATGGAATAGAAATAACAGTTGCTGACGTAAACAAATGTCGCGTTTCAACAACCAATCAGTTTCGAAATACCCACACTACGTCACATGCAGATATCCTCTGAAATTAAAACATTTATTTTTGAAACATGTTAAACTACAAATTAGCTCTATGTCTGACACGGAGAAAAAAATCCTAGTAAAGTTACGGAACTGTATCATAATGGCATTTTTTGTAAAGAATATCATAGTTCTGGTTAATAAAACCAAAATATCCAGTATTTAAACCATTCTTTTTGGTAATTTTTCCATTCATACAGTGGTGATTAATTATAGGAAATTCTGGTTTTAAAAATTGTTGTTTACATTACCACACATCTTGCCAAAAATAGAAAGCTGAAAAGTAAAGTTTACCAAATAAAACGTTTTTGTCAAATGGTTTTTTTAATAAATGGTCATGCTCGAAGAAAATTACTAAATTTTGTCTCATTTACCAAATTTTATCACTCATTATAAAACTATATTTCATTGCTAATTTTACTTAAATCATTAACAAAGCCTTTCAGTAAAAATTAATGAGCTTCTGGTATTCCCATAACGAAAGAAATCCGGTAAATTTTACCATATTCCGGTAGTTTTTATCACGTTTTTTCTAAGTGCATACATATAATTATAAAAGCAAAAGCATTTATATAGTCGGGAAATATGTAGTATTTCAATAAAACTACTAAATTAAAACAAAATATTGAAATATTGATATTTCTATGAAATAAAGATGGGGGGGGGGGATTTTAACTATAAAATTTACTTAAATTCAATATCTATTACATCTCTTCATAAGTACTAATAAAATATTTTTTCAATATCAATTGAATTATAATCTAAACTATATTATGAAATAAATTAAATTATTTTTTTAATAATTAAATCATACAATGTAACGAAAGGAAGACTTAGGTTTAATGTACTTTTTGAATGAAATAATTTTAATATTAATTTTACATTGCCTGAATTAAATATTTTTATAAAACCGTTGTATGTGTTCAGTATTAAATTTTATAGTTTGCTGAAAAATATGTCACATACTACTGTCAAAATGTAAAGCTAAATGTTTCCGACTTAGAAAGAAAAAAATACCATATGTTAAAGTATATATTATACAAGAATAAATTATTATTATTATTATTTTAGAGTGCTTTATAACCAGCAGAGTTAGTTGTTTCTTAGAAAAATGCATCGTAGTTAGCCTCTTTAATATGGGTTGAGGAGACATACAACTCTCCATAAAAAATGGACATACTTGCTATAAAGGGATGTCCAAAAAGAAGAGATTCGCAAAGACCTTCTCTACGAACAACGGCTACTGCCTCCAAAGTAAGCACAGGCACTTTAGAAATGAAGTTTTGTTTTGAAACAGGATTTGCTCGTCCAACTTGATTCGAATAAGTTGAATCTACGGCGATGCTAAAGTGTCCATGCACAGGAAATGAATCGATATTCAGAAAACATTCCTTGAGGTCACAGCGTAAGTTGTATTTGTCAACAACAATCCGTAAGTGATCAGAGTCTGTACTGCAGTCATGGAGCCAGCATTTCATTACATTTTCTAGTTGATAAGAGTTAGCATCGACCTGTTAGGAAAAGGAATAAAAAAAATCTCAGGTTTTGAAGTCAAGTAAAAACAATATGGTAAAACAGCTGACAGACATCAGTTTTTTTTTAAATCCTTATCAAAAATTAAGCTAATGAAAAATCTGTGCATTACACAGAGAAGGAAGTTTTGGCAGATTTACCGTACTGTAAGGTAATGACATTTCTGGTACAAAAAAAAAACGTAATTCTTGTTAATAGAACCAAAATAAACGATATTTAAATTATTCAATTGGTAATTTTTATTTTTATAAATGGAAAAATATCTGAAATTCTGGTTTTCAAAATGATAATTTTTAGTACCACATATTTAGTAAAAAATTCAAATCTGAAATATAAATTTTATTGAATAAGTGAGTTTTATGCCATGCTCTAATGTATCGTGATAAAATTGCTAATTTTTACTATGTTACTATGTTTACCAGTTACCATTATTAAACCATATTTTGTTATTAATTTTACCAAAATAACTACCAAAGCACTGCGGTAAGAAATACAGAGATTTTTGGTTTTTCCATCAAGCCAGAAACTATTTAGATATCATCATATTCTCGTAGTTAATATTTAAGTGAAATGAAAACAGGTTTAAAAAATCTAACTAATAATTAATGCGGTTAAGAAGAGCACAGGAGGAATAAAATTCATCAAAAATCAATTTATTTATCTGGAGGAACTGAAATACATCCGTCTTTCGCAAGAAGCTATCTTTTCCGCTTCATTTACAAACCAATTTGTTATCGACCAGTTTTACGGTGGTCAAGGAGCTGACCTCAGGTCATAAAGATCCCGGTTTCGAATCCCGCTGAGGGCATTGGATGTATTTCGCTCTCTCTCTCTGTTCTGTCTTTCTTTTGTTGGGGGTGACGTTGATCCACCCATGTGATGTCCTCGAAAAAGAGATCAACAATACCACCCGATAAGTACCACAGCACAGTATAATTGCCAAATGTGGTTGGCATTAGAAATAAATATATAATTTTTTTTCATTCCTCCCTTGCTGTTATTGATTTCAATAGTGGGTCTGAATTTGAAAAGCTTTATTTCTCCGTTAATTTGTGTTCCTTAATATTAGTAGCTTTTAACTTAATTTTTACAAGGTGTCTGTAATATATATCAGCAGCTTAAAAATTTTATTCATTATACCAATCTGAAATAATATTTTTTATGTAAAATAGGACATATCGGGAGAAGTACAAGCCTACATAACGGACAGTTTTAGTAATTATTTGAGAATCTGCTGTTGCATATATGGAAAATTCCTACATTATTAAGCCCTTAAATATATCTAGTGAATATAAAGCAATTAAAAAAAAAACACTTAAACTTTACGAAGAAATTGAATTTAGTTTATTATGTTTCTCATTAGTCATAATTCAAATATTTGCTTATAAAAAGAATTTGCGCAGCATGCAATACCTTTGCCCCTTGAAAATGCAAGTTGTGTACTAATTTATGATAACGGGGTATATTTAAATTTTTCGAAATCGCATTTAGCTACAGGAGCGTTACTAGGTTATAATTCAAATGCTCTTTTTTCTAATAAAGGATGTTTGCAACATTTATTAAGTAATTTTTTTTTTCGATTAGTGCATTTTATTTAACACTAGATTGTCAACGTAAGTCATTTCGACTGCTTTTAATTTCAATTAGAAAAACAATGATGTATATAATGACGCAATTTCTTAGAATTTTGTGACTTTTTTTAAAACATATAACTTTTTTATTGTTAATATTTACTAATAACTTGTTATATAACTGTAAATAATATGAAATATGTAAAAAATTAATTTTAAACAAATTTATTTACGCATTCATAATCCAGTCATTTTGACAGCTTTTGGGCAATATAGGTATATACTAATTATCCGTCTTTCTAGTGTTAAATAATTAATTTAAGGATTGTGAATCATAGATGAGCTGCCGGAAATGAATTAGTGTGCGTCACTTCCGTTTAACTAAGTTTTCCAAACTCATGCAAATAAAAAGTGTTACCCATAAAATAAAATTTAAAAAAAAAAAAACAGGCTTGCAAGTTCTTATAACTCTTTAATATAAAATTGTGACTTGATCATTTAAAAATTTAAATTTAGTTAAAACGTTTAAAGATGTGGTGATCACGTGAATGGGCTTTACTGAATGAGTATTTCTTCCGTTTACAGCGTTTTTCAGTCTGATAGCAAAGCATACTTTTATAATATTTTAAATATATAATTGTGAGTTGGTTATTTAAATACATAAATTCGATTAAAACCATTTTAATCCAATAGTGATCTATGGCTTATCTAGGTAAAGGTTTCTTCCCAATACAGTGTAGCTAAATAATGTAAAGGGGAACTGATTTTTCTATGTAGAGATGAAGACGGCTCAAACCTTCGATCGCTCTCTTACCTTAATTATTGGGACATTATTTTCCAGTCTATCACATTCCCCTTTTGGGGAATCTAAACCAAGAAATCAAATCTGCCATAAAAAAAAGTCTATTTCATAACACAAAATATTGTCTGCTTTAACTACTTAGCATATTTAAGGTTAGGCCTGTTACTGTTAGAATTAAGGCTTTGTGTGTGAAAATCTGATAATTATATCAAAAATGATTCAGGAGTTTCACCTTTTTTAGAACATTGTAAGCGAATAAATATGATCATTATATTCATAAAAATTATTTTCTCAAAGTAAATATGAATGTAAATCGAGTTTGTGCTTTATACTTACTTCGATAGCATGTAAAAGACTGTTTATAGTATTTTCTACATCATTGTCAAATATATTTTGAGAACTATGAGACTGAGTTTCACTTTTCGATTCACTGCTAGTCATTGAAGTATGAAATAGACGATTTCTAAGCATGATCACCTGTTCAAGCCAAAGAAAAAAATAAAGAAAAAAATAAATTAATAAAAATAATAAATAAAATGAACAGAAAATTCTCCCTTCTCCAAAATTAAGATAAAATTCTCATATTAATATACAGAACTCTTAGCAAGCATTGTTTCGCTGTTGTAAAACAAGAATTACAGAGGAAAAAGTAGTTCATCTTAGAATTAAATTAATATTATTCAATGGTGAATGGAAAAAAAAAATATTTTGCAGATAAATTAATAGTAGGCAAAAATATTTTTCTCTAAAATATTCTACTCTTGTAAACATTTCACGTCTGAATAATCTAAGGATTAAGGATTTACAATTCCAATAAAATTTTATTGTTGAAAATTTTTATTAACATAATAAAACTGCTTAGAAATAACGGCACGAACTTTAACTAACAGATGTCTTCTTATACATTTCACAAATTTTTTATATATTTTTGACTTACCAGCTGATTAAAGGTTTTAGCGCTAGGCATTACGCTGTTAAAAATTATGAATCAAATTACGGTAAAAAGCACCGGTACTCACACCGGTACGTTTTCCATACAGAGTAGATTTATACCGGATCATGTTACGGAATGAAAAAATTGATATACCATGATTATTACACTAATAATTACTTTAAAATTACGGAAGCACTCCATATACCACGGTTTTTCGAAGATTTTTCACCGAGGAAGTTAAAATAGTCACAGTTTAAGTATCTTAACACTTAAAGCTAAGCTATAACTTAAAATTTTATTTACCATCTTGGCCTGAAGTTTTGTCTGGGCTTTGGAATGAACAAATAACTTAAATATTTTAAAAATTATTAAATTTTTTTAAAAATTATTAATTTTGTGACATTTTTCCCCCTAGATGAAAATCATCAACCTCATTCCNAATTTTTTAAATTGCTTGTCATTAAGCATTTTCAAATTTTTATTATTTATTTTATTTTTTTAAATAATGCGGAATGGTAGTAAGTTTTTAAATATTAAAAATTTAGACTACAAACGCTTTCCATTTTCAGAAAACTGTGGCTTTTCTCCCTACTGACGCTTTGCGTCATTTTCAGAATAAGCATAGAAAGCGCTGGTTATAGATAGACTAAACTTGACCGAACAATCATGAATAACTGACGCAAACTGACAGCAGTTATGAAAATAGCATAGTAATCGCAAAAAAGCATTATTTCATACGACAATGCGGCCTTACCTTAAAATTTGAGAGATTTAATATTTTGCGAGTAAAAATTGATTTCGAGGACGCACACACAAAATGCCGATATTTTATACCGTAATTTGATCTGGAATTTTTAACAGTGTGGTAACTAGTAATTAATATAAATGCAAAATTAAATTCGAACTCTTGCGTGTGAAATATATCCATCTTGCGGAAAATTTTTCTTCGAATTTCTGGTCTTTTGACTTACATTGACTTTTCTAATGTATCCTAGTTCTATGCTTTGAAGGGACTCTTTGACTTGTTTAGTGAATCTCTGTAGAGGTTGAGCGGTGAAAAACACCACTTGCAGTTGGGGCCATTCTTCTTTATTTAATACTGCTCCCTACAAGAAAAAAAAGTTTTAAAACAAAGAATTAAAAAGTTTAAAAAAATTAGAAGAGACAAAAATAATTGCACGAAGGAACAAAGAAACGATTACCACATTTATTCACAGGCGTTAACATACCATTTTATGCTAAAAGTTATGCTTTTTTTCCGAGAATTCGTGTAAATTTTCTCATCATTTGTTTTATAAAACTGTGTGACGTTGCAAAATTTTATATCAGTTGAAAGCATATTGTTACAGGATAAGGCTGCACTTAATCAGGAATCGTTTAAATTCCGATGTCATGAATTTTTTACTGTTCACTGAATTCTTAAAATATCATTTTTATATGGTGTATAACATCAGACTTTTTTTTTCTTTACTACATCGCAGAATTTATTGAATGTTCAGTTAAAATTTCTATAGTGACTTTTTCTTTCTTTCTTCTTTTTTTTTTTTTTTTTTTTTTTTTTTTGATTTTGGTATATTATATTATTTAGCTACATTCGTTTAAAGACTAATATAAATAAATCTGCCAAAATTTTAAAGTCTTATAAATATTATGGACGTTTAATTCGATTTCACAAGAAAATATACAAATAATTCATATTAAAATTCAAAACTAGTTTTTAATTTTCTTGTGAAAAAAGTTTTCAATTAAACTATACTTTACTATTAAAATTATTTAAAGAAAGCGAGCTTTATTTAAAAGAAAAAACTTCCTTTAAAACAAAGAAACATATTTATAAAAGATGAAAGTGTTAGTAAGAATTCAAACTTCATGCAAAATGCCCAGACTGAATTATAACGTTTGAAAAAAATTAAAAAAAAAATTTCTCAATGTTAATCATATTTTTGGACTTCTTTGCGGACATTGCTCATTGAGGGGCAAAGGCTGCTGCCCCTGATCCACTACGGTTTTCTGCTTAGCTCATTGGGGTAATAAGTACAACTGATAATGTGATAATAGGCACCTAATATGCAAATGTATGTACTGTGCTAAAAGCTTTTTTTACGGAAACGGAATAATACCGAAATGTGTATAAATCAAGTCTATAACGGGATGTATATGTTTCATATTTGTAGAACTTCTTTTAAAAAAGAGTACCACCATTCATATAAAACTAAATAAAATAGACAAGTATCCAGTGAGCGAGCAAAACGATAGATCCGGAAGGTATTTTAAAAGCAATTCCAGGGTTTGGCGAGTGTGTAAGCAAACAAGTTAAAATTTGTATTATTATTCCTTTAAGCAAAATATTTTATTCCAAGCTGATGAACATAATACTGCATTACATAATATCAAATCGATTTGAAATTAAGCATGATTTATAATTTAAAATATATACAAATAAATAAGATTTATAAATATGTACAAGAAAAGATTATCTAATTCTCCAAATGACCTTATTTACAATCTTTTTTTCATTATATTTTGTGACTTTCTGCTGTACAAGAGAAGCATTCATAAACACTCTCTTTTTAATCTGGAAGAATTTTCAATTAGCATTCTATTAAGTTTACATGCATTGTATTAAAACACATTTTAAGGGTAAAATAGGTTTCTTTTTTATGGCTTCAAAAATATAATATCTATGAATACTTTAAAAAGGTGTTTGTAAGAAGAAAAAAATTAGCAGTTTTTAGAGCATAATTATTTTTAACAAATACTTCAGTATGTCATTTTATGATTTAAAACTTTAAAAGAAGAAGTATTTACTTTGAAATTTCAACATTTATTTACAATAAAACTCAACAGAACATTTAAAATTAAAATTTTTGATTTTGTCTTTCATTCATGAACAAAAATGATGTTCGAAATCATTTTTGCCTTGTGAGTACAGAATTGATAATGTACAAAAATTTACAATAAGATAAATTTAAAATTCACTACTTACCTGAAAATATGTTTCATATTGCTGTATAGCATGCTGTAGGCATGTAGATAAATCACTAGTTTCAAACGTCTCTGACCCAGTAAATAAAGTATGAGTACTTTTCATGCATTCTAAAGAAAACTGAAATTTTGTGTAATTCTGTTTAAGAGATTGAAAGGGAAAAATACATTTTGTTCTACCAGACAAAACATAAACGCCTAAGACCGAAAATCGAGAAGAACCTTTCATTGATATTACCAAGATTGTGGTATCTTGCAAAACCTGACAAATAGTAGTTATATTGCTTATTGACATTGGCGGAGTCAAATCAAAAAATATATAATATGTAGGTTGCCGTTGAAATGCTTCCCGCCATTCTTGTTTCTCCATTTCTATTTTGTTTTATAAATGAATAACAATAACAGAAAACGATATTTTTCGATAAAGTTTCATTTTTCTTGTAAATAAATTTATTTTTAGCAGACGATGTTTCAAACATTTCAACGATGTTCAAAAAGCAATTCGCGAACGCAACGATCTATAGAGGGCGTTGTTATTTGAGACGAATGACTGCAAGCGGAACAGCGCGATCATCAATTGCACTGCAGATTTCTTCAGTGTGGCATGATAACGTTTCTTCATTATTGTAGCTTATTAAATTTAAAAAAGAAAAATGTTCGATAATCTTTCTTATGCATGCAAAAACAAAATGGAATCTATTTTTTTTTCTTAGAAAAGGAACATCCAAAACAGATTGGAAAAATATTTGCAAATAAACAGAAAAAAATAAGTATCTTATGTTCTTATTCGAGTTAAAACCTAATGTTTGCGAAATAACTCTGCTAAATTTAATGATCTAATATGAAAGGTTTATTTAAACTTTACATTCCATACTTTTCTGATTCATATTACTTCAAACAATAAAATATGTAAAAATATACAGAAACAAATAATGTTACATCACTTAATTTAAAAAAAAAAAATTCAACAATTTTTATCAAAAAATTTAAAGTTTCGCTAAGAAATTGTTATCTAAAAATTAAAAAACTCTAAATAAAAAATGCTTAAAATGAAAAAATTAATAAAAAAATAAAAAAAGAACGATCCTATAAATTCCTCATATTGAAATAATTTTTTTTCTTCTTTTTTCAGTTTTAAAGTTTTTAATCAGATGTAGGAAATCAATCTGTAGAAAACTATCATCAAATTAGGAAACAAGTTATTAACAAGTAAATTCATAACACTTACATGCTTTATAAATCCGGAGGATTCCAAAATGAAATGTTCTTTGAAATCAAAATGAAAATTAAATGAAAAATTTTGTTCTCAAATAATATATGCATAGGTTATCTCTTCATTAATCTCAGATGACATACCACACAATAATATTTTATAATTGTAAGATCTCGATATCAATTTCAATATGTAACTTAAAAACAGAACGAAGTTCTAGTTGAAATTAATCATTCGAAATTAAAATATTTACCAAGTAAACGATTAAAATTTATTAATGATCAACACAAATGATACTATTTCAAGTGATTTGGATGATTATTTATTGTTGTTCTCCGAGTTACATAGATATAGAAATATAACCTATTCTATAAATAAGAAGAATACCATATAACTTTTACAGTTCTGCACGTTCTGAAATAACATTTATTCATTGAAATGAAGTAAGCAATGTGTGTGGACTTAAATAACTTCACTTTAATTTATAATGAATTACAGACAAAAAAATTTATTTTACAGTAATACATACATCATACATCTGTAACAGTACGCGATCACGAAATCGGACGCCATCGATTGCAAGTTTGCTGATATTAGAAAGGGAAAAAAATATTGAGAAATTGCTCTTCAAATGTTTGGCGCGTTCTGTTTCAGAATCATTTACCAATGTTCTGTGTCATTTTTTCAAGTTCTTCTGCCTTTTCCTTAGAGAAGTTTTGCTTCTTATTTGCTGTTGAAAAAAATCGTCCTACTACATCAATGATTCTGATAGAACTGAATGAAAACTTAGTAAATAGTAATCTGAAAATACCCACCCAGTTAGAGGGCGTATTCAATCATTGCACTCGCCAATCTATATTATACTTTTATTTTATTTTATTTTTGTGTTGAATTCTAGTTTTTAATTATACATTTATTTTCGCAAAAATGAAAATTGGCAAGTCTCGTTAATGTTTTAAATTTAATAATTAATTAATTATAGTATATGATGATTTCTTAGATTTTATTGTGCAAATATGTGCTGTTCGTTTTTAATTTATTTGTGAATTACTATTTATGTTCAAAAGGACACAGCTTGTTAATAAAACATTTTGTAGAAATCCATACTTTAATAACTCTTTCCAAATGCAATATTTTTTCCAGAAAAATTTATTATATGATTAAAGATCATCCTGAAAATCATTTTAAAATTTATATAATTATATAATACTTTGCACTTAATTTTTAGCTATGAGAAAAAGATACCACTGAAGAAATAAGCAGCTGATAGAAACAAAAATTTCCATTTTTCTTATCGTTCTATCTCTAACTTTTGCAACTTTGAAGTTTATATTGATTTCAAGTCATCAGAGAAATATTTTAAGAGTTTCCACTCAAATGCCAGATCATATAAGAAGACGGCACGTTTTACATCGATGTCTATCAAAATGGCAGCAGTCTGTGAACACTAAACTAAACTTTTGAAATTTTAATTGAAATAAAAGTAATAAGATTTTTTAGTCAGTGAAAATGTTGAGGCCCCTTAAACTTTTACTGACTAGGGTCTCAGCTTCTCATAATTGAGCCCTCTGAATTCAATATAGCATTTGTATATGATTTGTAGTGGTGTCAAGAACAAACATTTTGGACCTAACTCGAAATTTTATTGATTTAATTATTAATAAATTTTAATCGATAACATTTGCTAAATATTTGAGAGAGGTTTGTCGACTGCTGGCAGGGTTTGAAGCAAGGATCTCTGGGATCATAAGAGGATGCTCTAACCACCATGGAAAAAGGATCTACACCTCAACCAGGATGAGTTAAGAAACTTTATTGAGTGGGTGCAACTCACATCTTTATTTTGTTGATCCAGGCAATTTTTTATCGAATCAAGGCAAACTGTGGAACGAGACGAAATATTTTAGTGTTCTGTCATGAAATGATATTTTTGCGAATTCGACTGTTGGATGTCATGATAGTTCGAAACGTGGAGTCAATTTATTAAGTCGCAGATATTTTCTACTTGTGAAATTCTTCAAAATAGTACCAACGCATTTAAGATGTAACTTTTTTTTAAAGGGCATTAGAATGTTGAGTCCCAGCACCAACCTTCCCAAAAAGTTCCAAGCCAACATTCTGGCTCCTATAAAGTGTTTAACCACTAGAGGGAAAACAAATTGACCCCTTTATTTAAAAATTTCAAAAGCTCCTTTGAATTTAACTATTAAAAAATTTTAACTCATGTTTTTCTACTTTTTCCTCTAAACAAAAATAAGGGCACACATAAGTGATCGCAAAGCTCGAATACGCCATCTGGGGAGAAGACATGTTCCATGCCTTTGATCTTCCTCCTCCTTTCAGTTATATAAAAATGTACCAGGATATTTTTCCTCTTCTTGACATTTTTCCTATTTAATTGTTAAAAATATTTTTTCAAATTTCATGACGCTTTCTTTTAGAGCTATGTTTAATGCAGCTTTAAGTTCCATATAGTTTCTTCCCTTAAAAGATTTCAATCTACTTAAAAATCAAGACATGAACTAACGTACTTCCTTCTTCTATGACTCTCCACATGCTGATGGTGAAATCATGGGAAATGTTGCCATGGGTAGGGTTCTGCAAACCCTATCTGTAGCCCTTTTCGATCGCCAATCCTATTACGCAACTGCAGGATAGAAATTAACCTTGCTAAAAGCGCAAATAACATTTAATCAATCAATCAATTATACTCTCTAACTGTGACTGTGCTTTTTTTTCTTCTTTCGATTCCTAGCAACCGTTGCTATCTTTGTTTACAAACATATTTTATTCTGCTTGAAAAGAAAAATTATTCCTCATGAATTATTAGCTAGTAATATTTTTTCTTTCTATAAAATATGACTCATATCAACGATGGAGAATATACCAAAGTTATTTATGGCATGGTAAATATAAACCCTATTTTTCTCCATTACTTTTTTGTTTCAAAAGACTTTATTTTTTAATTTCGAGATCACACTGGAAATCTATATTTTAGTATATGGATTAAATTTCTTGTAATTATTTATGTTAAATTATATGAAATTATGTTCTTGAAAGTAATATTTATTGTTTTTATAAAATTATTTCGCCTTTCAGCTTTCTAAAATTGTATTTGCATAGTTGTAATTGTAGTTGCATAATGTTTATTAACTTTTTCGGACCCAAAACTTTGAGAAATATTTTGTGATACACCTTTATTTAAGCTTATTATATTTGCTATGAGGATATTATAATTGAATTAATATTATAACCTTTGATAAGCTGCTGCATAATTTTCGTATCTTATTACTAAAAGCAGTTATATTAGCTTTCTTAAATGCTTATTGTAAAATATTTTATTTTTGCTCAAAAGAAGGATCTGTTTTTATGTCAGCATGCTTGCTGTGAGTATGAAATCACTCTTGCCAACCACAAGATATTTTGGTGAAAAAATATAACTTTCTTCTTTTGAAGTGCCCGTTGTTGAAAATTGAAAATTTTCTTTGTTGTGCTCTTGCACCTAAAATTTTGTCAACAGCAAGACATAATTAAGACATACAAAAATTGAAATCTGAATAAAATGCATGCATAGTAAGAAAGGAAATATCCACTTACCTGAGAGGTTTTTGTGTGGGTTGTATTGAATGAAACATAGTTTTTTTTTTTTTGGCAACCAATTTGGTGATTATCGAAGGGGCATTTCAAAACATAGTTTAATCAATATTTTTGTGAATGATTATGGGTATGTAATTTTAAAACTATAATAGTTATTAATTTGGAGCTATGTTTGTTTTCACATTGCAGTTTTGACTGTTATAAATATTAGTAATTTAATAACAACATAAGTAATTTCATTACTGGTATGATACAGTAAATTACTGGTATGATACAGTCTAGATTCTTTAGCATGATTCCTTCCATTCGAGCTACTGCTCAATTATAACAAGTGGTTAAGTCCCATCAGTTTGCCATTCCATTGATCCATTGTTTGTTTGTCAAATATATTTGTACATATTTTGTGGAAATTATTTGTATCTTATCTGTCAGAGCATGTCGATAAAAATAACCATTTATGTTTGTCTCTTCATGTTTAATAGACTTGATTTATTTGAGAAAAAAATAATATGTGTTATGGTATCTTTATTCTTTTAAAGGTACTATATTATTTATTTAATAAGGTACCTTTATTTTTAAAACAGTGAACAAATAATATTAGTTTCGGTGATTCCGCTAAACTTAGGAAACTACGAATCGTTAAGATCGAGGACTTCCAAATCTGAGTCGTTTTTGGCGAAGGCAGACCTCTATGTAAAATGTAATAAATTTATAATTTAAAGATAAGCATAAAAAATGAATATTTGGGGGGGAAATACAATTTCGGTAATAATAATTTAACAAATATTTAAGACCAAAATTTCTATATCAATTCAAATCAAAATTATATTTATTTTTACATTCTGCTACAGTAGGAAACCGATTATCCGGAACGATCGGGACCATCGCTATTCCGGATAACTGATTTTTCCAGTTTTCTGAATCGCTACAAAAAGCTGTTTTTTTTATTGTTAAACCCAACTAAAAAAATTATATTTTTTGGAAATAATCTTAAAAAGAAGAAAAAACGATGGACTAATACACTAATGATTATTTCCAAAATGATGGTAAGGTAAACATCTTTCAAAAAAGAAAGAAAAATCCTAAAATCTTATGAGGAAAAAAAAAATTTTTTTTTAAATGGCGTGAAAATTTATCGAATTTCGTCCCGGTTTTTTGGTTTTCCGGTTTTCTGATTTCCGGATAACGGGTTCTGTGCTGTATTAATACAGAACCTTCTCAGCCGAAAAACAAAGCTAAAACTCTATAAGTCACTCATATTTCCTGTACTGCCTTATGGAAGCAAAACTTGGACTCTAGATTCAGATATACAATGGTGACTGGACACCTTTGAAAGAAAGATCCTCAGAGCCATCTTTGGCTCAATTCAAGAATGGAGATACTGGCAAACCAGATATAACTTCGATCTCTACCAACTCTATAAGCAGCCTTAAATTTAGCAAATAATCCGCAGTAATAGGCTGAGGTGGCTGGGCCATCTATGGAGAGGCCCGAGAAATGGCCCCATGAGAATCATCACCTTTAAGAACCCCGAGGGGTCACGTCCCAGAGGTAGACCCCCTACTAGGTGGCTCAACAACATTGAAAATTACCTGAAAACCCTAAAGATTAGAAACTAGAAGGGAGTTGCCATAGATAGGAGGCGCTGGCATTTGTCTGCTGTTGAGGCAACCAAGGCCTGTTAGAGGCTGTTGCGCTGACAAAGAGGAAGATTAATACAGGAGGAGAAAAAAAAATTCTAAAAATTTAGTGGAAATTTTTCTTTAATAAAGCTGCCAGCAGGTTAAGTTTTTCTTTTCCTTCTTTTTGCAATGGGGAGTTATGAATGTCTTGTTATAATTTTTTGCTTCATTCCTACGATTTTCAGCATATTTGACGTGCAATAACTCTTAAGTCAAATCACTGGGCTTGTGCTTAAAATAATAATTTTGATAATATAAATAATCCCAAAAAACTGAAGCAGTAAGATATTACCTGATTATAAACTTCATTAGCTTCAAAAATGTGCAAAAAATAAAATAACAGCCGACATGTTTCGAGCGCATCAAAAATAGATGACATTTTTGACAGAAGTGAATGTAACAAAGCAAAAACCCTGGAATCTTGTTTTATTCATTTGAATACTGATTCCCTTGTTAACAGCATTAGTCCCTCTCCACCTCTCCAAATGCAATTTTCACCTGATTTGCCTCTCGGCCACTGTGTTTTTTCTTGTTCTCTGTTTCATCTTTTTCCTTTCTCGTCTTCTGTGGTTTTTTCCAGTTTTATTCCTCACTTTTTTTTCCATTTTTTTGTTGGCAACTTTACATTTTTTTAAATTTCAAATCATTTTTGTTTTGTTACATTCACGTCTGTGAAATCATGAAAATAGGTGCCTATATTTTATGTGCTTGAAACATGTCAACTGTTATTTCATTTTTGTTTATTTTTGAAGCTAATGAAGTTTTTAATCAGGTAATAGCATTAATTGTTTATTATTATTAACCTATTGTTAGAATTCACATTCTATTTACAACCATATTTAAATATTTGGTATTGTTTCTAAGAACTATTGTTCTCATTAAAAAAGTCATTAACTTCTTACTAAAATTAGAAATAATTTGTTTGATTTATCTTTCATTAAAAATTATGCTTTAATTTTTTTCTTTCTTCTTTCTTTCTTTTTAGATCAAAGAAGGTTTATTTAAAGAAGCTATTGCTGTGCTCAATCAACAATTTCAAGCTAATCCCAATGTAAGTCAACATATTTTATTTTTGTTTTTTTGAATTATACTTTAAAAATATACAATTATAATACAAATAAATTTTGTTAGTAGTTTATTGATTACTTAATTTGAAAGCTTATCAGTATCAGTAATATCAAAATTAATTTTAAGTGTTAAGCAGCAACAAATGTTTTGGAAATAATTGGTATAATATTAATTAATAAGTATTATCACTATTAAAATCCTTTATAATATTACGATTTTTTTAAAAAATTTATTGGAAAATTTGATATTACAGATTAAATGGTGTTATGCAGGTCTAAACAAAGTGCCAACCATGTTTTTTCCACAATTAAAAAATTTTAGATTAATGTTTTCCTAATAATAAGAACCTGAACCCAAACACCTAAAGACCACCTTTTTCCTTTTCATGTAATACAGAAAAATTTGTACTATTCTGAGCTTCAGTTTAGTTTATGCATAATAATTTACTTCCATTTTATGCAGGTGTTTTAAATAGTATGGACTGACCTATAAACTATAAGAAACTTTTTTTTTTTTTTTTTTTTGAAAAATAAGTTTTTCCTCCTGTATATTAAATTTGGCAGATTATTTTATGCTTGATTATACCCCTTCTTGAATTTTTATCTATCAGGTTTTAAAAATTATAAGTATGAGTAAAGGTTATAAGAATTAGTGGCACTTAAAATGTTTTGCCACATTAAACGCACAGTTATCTTTGCTATAATTCTACATATATTTAATTGGGTTTTGTTCTAACCCTCATATTAATTAATGATTTTATTTTTCAGAGATAGCTTACTTGTCTTTTCTTTCAATTTTGTATATTTTTACAGTCTAGGGCTGCTTTGTCTCTTCTTGGTTATTGCTATTACTTTACACAAGATTTTGTAAATGCTTCCAACTGCTATGAACATTTAACTTCCGTTTGCCCAGAAGTGGATGATTATAAATTGTATTATGCCCAGTCTTTGTACCAAGCTTGTTTTTATCAAGAAGCCATGAAAGTAACTTGTCAGATTGACAACCCATCATATCAAGCAAAGGTATTAATGATATTTTGATAAAATAAAAAAAAAGAAGGTATTTTTAGTTGGAGTGGGAAAATTAAATTCTTGTATAAGTAATTTCTTTCTTTATTTATTTTTAGATTGTAAAACTACAAGCTGCCATAAAATATGGTGAAGAGGAATTAGCTGCTGCTAAAGTATGTATTTTTTACACTCTGTTTAAGTAGAAATAAATGTGTTATCTTTTTTTGAAATTACAAGAAAAAAATTGTGTGTAAGAAATGTAGTTGAACTCTTTGTATTCAGTTTTCTAATAAATATAGTTATTTAATTTCATATTTTTTCAATATTTTTATTTCTTATAACTTCAAAAAATATGTATAAAATATAATTTAGTTCATTGGCTTATAATTTCTTTTGCAAGGGCTTAGTTTCTGCTTATAGTTTGACAAAATGTTTATTTATTTAAGTAGATTAGCTTAGTTATGATGTTTATTTTATATAAAAATTAATTGTTTACATGAATTTTGAGTTGAAATTGACTACTTTTTTAGTTTGTAAGGATGAAAATATGCTTATTTATTTGGGATCTTCATGATATAAACAAAGTAATATTTTCTGTGGGTTTTTATAAAGTGCTGTTTCTATTTGAACAATTTTTTTTAAGATGTCATAACTTGATTTAAATAAGTTTTATAAGTTTACTTTCATGCCTTCCTGTGTGTAATATCTTTCTTTTGTATGTTCTAGGTATAGTTGATATTTTAAAAACTTGTTAAATAGTTTATTGATCTAATTTTGGCAAAAATAAGCATTCTAAATTAATATATCTTCTAAACTTAATTCAACTCTCTAATTTTCATGTTGCTTTAGTTTAAATTTTTTAAATTAACATTTCTTTTCCATATTGGATTTTTTAATATTGGATTTTCCATATTGGATTTTTCCATATTGGTTTTTTTCATATTGGATTTAAGCCAGTTTTTAGCATTTAATTTTCTATATTTTTATCTCAAAACAATTTATGCTTTAAAAGGAAAAATGTTGAATAGACTTTTAATGGAGGAAATTCTTATGATTTTCACCTACGTAATGATTTGTTTTTAGTGATAAAAATTAATATATTCATTTTTAGCTTATGTAACAAATAAATTTTAGAAAAAGAAATGTTGCTTTGATTTCTTACAGGCAACTGAATAACATATGCTGTCTGTTTCTTTTTACCATATAATATGCTTTCAGGCAACAAGTTTGGAACTCATAATAAAAGATATAATTGGGAAATGTGCCTTCAATCTATCAAGTAATCACAAGATAAGAATTTAAACATTACTTCATATGAACTTTAATTAGTCATTAAGAATAAATATGTATTTTGTAAAAATTCAATGAAATAATTTGCCTTATTTAAATGCAAAATATTCACTACATTGCACAAATTCGGTTTTTTTCATACATAATTTATGTTATTGTAGAAAAAGTTGTAATTTCTGTGTCTTATTTATTTATTTGCCCGCATAATCAAAAGAATACTACAGATTTGATGGTTTTTGTTTCTCATCTGTTCAAAATTACTTTGTGATTTTGGTTGCATAATTACATTGTAACTAAATTCATGTTTTTAAAACATGCAATTGTGATAATTGATGCAACTCTTATATATTTCAGAGCCTAGTTGATCAAAGTCCTGCCGGTGACCCTGACACAGAAGTTAATTTGGGATGCCTATTATTCAAGGTATGAAAATTAATCTGCCAGTATTTAATTAAAAATACCTTCTTTTTTTTCTTTCTTTTTTTGAAAATATTTTTTTCCACTGAAATTTTATTTGTAGTAGTTTAAATCAATAATTTCATGTGTGTATTCATACAGTGTAAATTTAATATTATATTAATGTAAAGTTAATTTTCAAACAGGAGGGACGATATGAAGAAGCTTGCAAGAAATTCATGACTGCAATGCAAGTTGAAGGTTATGTCCCAGGTAAGAATCATGGTATTAAAATTAATGTGTTGTATTTAAGCATATTTTGTTTGGCAATTACTTTTAATACTTATATAATATAAATTATGTATATTTTATACAACTTGATTGCAAAATTTTTATTCTGTTTACACCAAACAGATAAATGTAATAAGATATAAATAATTTTTATTGTTAAAATGTGTTCATTTTAATGTTTATTTTTTTACTATGTATATCACTCTTATCACTGTTGCAGAGCTACTCATTAAAAATTTATACAATAAGCAAAAAAAAAAAAAAAAAAATTACATTGAAAGTCTGACTATCTGGAAGAAAAAAAGATAAACGTACATTTAGAACTCTCAAATAATAATAATAATAACCATAAAAAGCAATTTAGGTGAAAAAGTAATTTTTTACAACACAGAAAAAGAATAATTTAAATTGATTATACTATATTTTAAAAAAATATATATTATTTCAATTTTTAACAAAATGCAAACATTACAAATCATGAAACCTATGATCCCACCAACTAATGAATTTCTTTGATTATATTTTATTATCTAGTATATGTACAACGTATGATTTTCCTAAAATTTATTGAAGTTACCTTCTAACGCAAAAGGTTGAAAAACACTCCTTTAAACAAATTAATGGTTATAAATACAATTATAATATGCAAAAGTTAAATTACACTGTGCTCTAGTTTTATATTTTCTAAATAAATGTTATAAAAAATACTCTTTATGCCTTGTTCTTTCATGGAGGTATTCATGGAATCCTGTTATGGTACCCTGTATATAGTACCCTGTTCTTTCATGGAAGTATCAAGAGTATTTGATTAAATATGTGATGCACAAAATTTTAATTGTTTCTATTTAATTGTTTTCTGTCAAATAATAAGTGATTTTTGAGAAATAATATAATAATGTCACATTTTTGATTAATTTTTGTTTTAGATCTTTCATACAATATTGCTCTTTGTTATTATCGTTTGAAACAATATGCCCTTGCATTAAAACACATAGCAGAAATCATTGAAAGAGGAATCAGAGAACATCCAGGTACTTCAAAATAGAAATTTCTATTGTTGCAATTCTATATGTGCTTTCTCTTATATGTCTTCTTCTTCTATTTTTTTTCTATTATATTTAAAAAATAGCAATTTTTATTATTGCTACTTTGACACAGAAATTTATATTCTACTAATTCAGAAATTTTTGTTATTCGAATTACTATTATTTTATTTTTTTATTTCTATTATATAAAGGGAATTTTGTACAAAATTTATTGTTCGAGTTAAAAGAAGTAAATATTATATTAAATTATGGATATGATTACTCTGTTAATAAATTATAGATAAAATAAGGATTAGAATACAGTCAAACCCCGTTAACACGAAATCGTCGGGACCACCGAAATTTTTCGTTTTAACCGAATTTCGTGTTAACCGTTTAGGTAGTGGCGGCATCTAGTCAACAATTATTGAACTACTAAACAATTACTTATATATTACAGTTCTTAAAAGTTACTAATGAAGACATATTGCAAATTTGAGTGAATTTAACATAAAATTAAAAATACTAAAAACAATGAACATTTAAAAATAACTTGAAATTTGGAGAAGAAATGATGAAGTAAATTGAACGCCAAATTACGAATTTATTTATCCGTTACGGAATCAAGGTTGAAAAAAGTCAGTTATTGACTCCTGTTTTAATTTCTTAAGATAACACTTATTAATAAAGTCATTTATATGTTCTAAGTTATCTAATGCATCCATAGCATTTTCTTGTTGCATGAGGAAACGATTAATTACTTTCATTGCACATGTCGCCTCATTTAAAGTAACTGGATTTTCTTGTTCAATATCGGACTCTTCATCAGTTGTATCCATGTCGACATCATCATTTTTCGCCGATAGTTCAGCGATTATGTCTTGATCGGTGGTTATATCCGATGTTAGCAAATCTTCGTCTATAGTGGTGTAGTCTTTGAACAAAGGGGCTGATAGAATCCCGCGTTTTTCCGCTTCTTCGATCAAATTAGTCAACGTTTCTGGTTCTGCTTCACTTATTTCTTGAAGATTCATTTCTTTTCCATCTGTGAACCCACCGCACTTGAAACTGTTTATAATTGTTTCAGAAGAAACATTGTTCCAAGCACATTTTAAGTATCTCATTGCGTCTAATAGATTTACAGAAAATGTAATTTTATTATCAAAGCAATGGATCATCTTGCGTACCATTTCTTTTCTGTATTGCACCTTCAAGCTATGAATGATACCTTGATCGCACGGCTGAAGTTTTGCTGTGGTGTTAGGAGGTAAAAAAACACATTTAATCGCTTTTAGTCCGTGAATATCATTATGAGCACTACAATTGTCAAGCATCAAACAAATATTTCTTTTTTCCCGAAATAGTTTCCTGTCCAAGTCTGTTAACCATTTCTTAAAAAGCATTTTATTCATCCAGGCTTTCTTATTTGAAGCATATACAACGGGTAAAGTTTTTAAGTTCTTAAAACAACGTGGGTTCGCTGATTTACCTACGACAAACAAGGGCAATTTTTCGGTCCCATCCATATTACAAGCGACCAAAACAGTAATTCTCTCTTTAGAGCATTTTCCGCCGGAGCATTTTTCTCCTTTAATGCTCAATGTACGGGAGGGCAATGCTTTGAAAAAGAGTCCCGTTTCATCAGCATTGAAAATGTCACGTGGCGCGTAATTTTTCCTAAGAGCAGGCCACTTTTCAGACAAAAATGATTCCACAGTCTCCTTATCTACAGTTGCTTCTTCGCCACAGATTTTATGACACACAATTCCATGACGCTTTTTGAATCGTGTTAACCAACCGTTTGAAGATGCGAAATTTGTCACGCCGAGAGCATCCGCAAAAACTTTTGCTTTTTCTTGCAATACATGACCCGTTAAAGGCAGATTCTGACTCCTTGCTTCACGCACCCATCGCAAAAGCGCTACTTCGATCTCCTCATTTCCCCCTGTTCTCATTCGCTTTCTAGCTGGCTCAAATTGATTGATAGCATATGCGACTTCAATTTTTTCACGATTTTTTATAATCGTAGATAGCGTGCTGTTGGGAATTCCATATTTCGTCGCGATCTCTGTTTTCTTTAATATTCCATCACAAACTTCATTCAAAATTTTTTGTTTAGTCTCTAAGGACAAGGATTGCTGTTTTCGACTCATTTTTACGAAATTTCAAGGGCAACTGACAGTCGGACTCTACCACGATCATGTGTGCTTATGCACTACTTTCCACCCCCTTCCACGCACGTGCAAAGAACATTCCGAAACAGAATAGCAGCAACCAATCAAAAGAGATAATTATGGAAGGATGGGACCTCGATTCGAGGGTAGGAGTAGAAATTTCAAAACACTAATTCCAAACTCTTGTAAAAGAAGAAATTTTGACTTGGAGTGAAAAAAATTCTTTTCGTCTTAAGCGGTATTTTGCGATTTGGGTTTCGCGTTAAAAGAATTAATTAACACTATTCTTCAGACTCGATCGACGGGACCTAACAATTATTTCGCGTTAAGCGAAATTTCGTGATAAGCGATTTCGCGTTAACGGGGTTTGACTGTATTATATGATAGAATAAAATTAAATTTGATTAATTTGGCTACAACTTTTGCCTAAGTAAATGTGTGCTAGGTTTGTCTTAGTTAATATCTTCTAAATTAACTAATGTTTTATCACATAAAAATAAATTTCCTTTCACTTAGTGTCCTGTAAAATAATTTCAAACATCGTAAGTTTAATGTAACAAATGTTGTAAAATATTTGGAGTTTTTGGCTAAGAGGGGTGCAAAGCTTTTCAGTGGCTCTTGTGAGGTCTTTTTTTACACTCTGTAATCTATTTCTGGAATAAAGCAAAGAAGGTTATTTGACTCTGCTGGCTAGCCTTGTTCATCCTTGATGAAGGGAACTTTAGACTTCCCTGATTCTTTTAAAAATATAGTGTGGCATTTTTCTGCCTTTTTTCAGGTCTGTTTGCCTACATATTTACACTGGTTCAAATTAGGTAAATTCTTTTTCTCCACCACCTGTACAGTCAAGTTCAAAATTTTGATGATGCACATCCTGATTTGTGCTTTGCACACTCGTTTTTGACCTTTACAGTTCATAGATATTGGGGGGCTAGAGAACTAATAGCATCTTAGCCATCTTCTGCAGATTTGTAAAAAAAAAAAAAGAAATGGGAGACATTATACTTGGTGTATGTTTTTAAAATTCATAGATTGTGTTTCTTAGTCCAAGTATCACATCTTAGCATGATTTGTATCACCATGTTGTTGACAATATTCTATATCGACAATGTCACAAAATAAAAGAAACAACTGGGAAAAAAAGAGATAATAGTTTTTCTTTTTTCACTAAGCTGCAGTGATAAAGAGAACTTAATTTTGTTATCTTAGAAATTTTTCTTTAATATTTGTCCGTAACATTATTAATTTATTTGCTCTAGAAATATAAGTTATATGTAAATTAATGAAGAAAAAAAAATTTCATTTTTTATTTTGTAATTGAAGTTCGTAATCTTAAAATTCAATTTAGTTCTATGTTCCTTTAATAACCAAAACTTTCTTGGTTTTAGCATAGTTGCTAAGTCTAATGGAAAATTTTTTGGAAAAATGGTGAACAACTTTTCAGTTGAAGAGCAGGTGAAATAAACTTTTAAATAAAATAAGAATGTTGTTTAACAAAGTTACTAAGTCGTTTAGAAAAACTTAAATAAAAATGTTTAATATTTAAGTAGTGTTTGGGATATGTAAGAGACAGAATGTATGACTCAACATTTTTTCTTTCATGTCTTCTAGCTGCATTATTATTTTGAGCAATAATATTATGTATAATATTTTTTTGTTGTTGTTAGGTTTCTTCTCTTTTTCCTACTGTTATATTTAGTTTTATAGAAATTATTACTGTATGAGTAAAAAATTCCTAAATTGCAGATTATTTTCTTTTGCATATTTTACCTATGCGTAAAGTAAATTTACAAGTATATAAATGTCTTTTTGATAAATTTGTGAATTCAAAATGCTACTTATACAGTTTGTATGTCCTAAAAAGGAACTTGTTTGTGTTTCTACTAGATAAATATATGTTAAAAATTAGTTGAATTCAAAATACTACTTTTACAGTTTGTGAATTTCTTTTAATAAAACTGTGTGTCTTTATGTTTCAATTACTGTCAGTCAGAGTGTTTGTAATTTAATTTCATATCAATATATTTTTTTATTAGAATTAAGTGTTGGAATGAATACCGAAGGAATTGAAGTCCGTAGTGTTGGGAATACTATAACTCTCCATGAAACTGCACTTATTGAAGCTTTTAATCTTAAAGCTGCTATTGAATATCAATTAAAGAATTGTGAGTGTCAGTTCTTATGTTTTTCTTGCTTTAGTCTGATATGAAAAATTCTAATTAGCACTAAAATTAGCTGATTTGCAAATAATACACCTATTTTTTTTAATGTTATGTATATTAAAGATGGTTAAAAAAATATTTTACTCTCAGAATGCTTTAGTGTGAAAAAGTTGCCTGTTGTAATTGGAATGAATGTTTGGAATGTTTTTTAATAGAAATGAATGTTTTGTAAAGGAATGAATGTTGCCTATTGTAATAGGAATAAATGTTTTTATTGAAAAAAACTTATTCTGAATCTAAGATGATTGCTAAAATTCGAAAATTTGGCTATGATTTTATCTTTTTTTGATTACCACTATTCAGGGATGGATACAGCAAAACCGCTTGTATTCAGCCAGTGGTGAACATGTTAGAAACAATACCCATTTTGTTTACCAAATGTTAAATTTCTATCGTTTAAAAATCAAGCATTACTTCTTAAATTGATATTTTGATTTTTTGAAACTTCAATTTGAAAATTATTTATTAGCATCAATTTTAATGTTTCTTAAAAGATCTTTGTTATTATATAAATGTTTCCTTTTTTTTCCTACTAAAGTTTCAAAAAATCAAAGTTTTCTGCAGAAGTACTGATAGTAGAGTCGCAAGCTTGGATAATGATTAAATTTCAGGTTTACACGTGCTTTTAAATTATATAAATGTTTGATAGAAACATCAGCGTAACCAATTGAATCAGTCAATGAAACCTCTTGTATCAACTATGTTAGTATTAACACTGTAAAATGTTTTCAGTTGATGCAGCTAAAGAAGCCCTCACTGATATGCCTCCTCGGGGAGAAGAAGAATTAGATCCTGTTACTTTACACAATCAAGCTCTGATGAATATGGAAACCCATCCTACTGAAGGATTTGAAAAGCTTCAGTTTCTCATACAGCAGAGTCCATTTCCTCCAGAAACTTTTGGTAACTTGCTGTTATTGTATTGCAAACATGAGGTAATTTCCCCCTCTTAGTTTTGTTTTGTAACAAACTACCCTCCATTTTGCTGAAATTCGTTCTTTAAAAAATGTAGTTGGTTGAAAAATTGTCAACACTGGACAGCTGAAACAATTTATTTAAAAATGTTTGTGGATTAATTACACCTTGTAGTAATAAAATAATGTAAAAATCACTTAGCTTTGTTAATTATTAAATGTAGAAGAGAAGTAAAGTGTAGAAGTAGTTCATCATCTTTATCCTATAAAATTTTATTGATTTGTGTTTTTCTAAAATCAATAATATCCACCAAGTTCTCCAAGTTTAATTTAATGTGTGATTTGATCACATTGACTATTTCTTTAACAAAGTTGCTTAACATATTTCTGAGATATCTTTAGAGCTCTAATTTACACAAGTTTTAGCACAATCTGTGTTGTACAGTATATCAGCATGCCACTTCCCTTCTATAATATTCATGCCAAATATAATTTGCTATTAGAAATCATCATCAATGGGATATTTTTACAAGTATTCTCCTCTCTTTGTATCTGTTGTTGGTCAAACTCAATCTACTGACCCTGACTGCGTTTTTACTTACATTTAATGCTAGTGAAAGAGCAGGAAAGTTTTGGAATATAAGATTCTCTGTTGGTTGTTCATAGAAAGTGGCCAAGTAACTTATAGAAGACTTTTTAATGTTAAATTTAGATTATGAAATATCAGGAAAATATCTTTAAAAACCAGTTTTTGAAGGTTGTTTGTTATAGAAGTTTCACTGTATTTTCAATTTGAATTTGAAATTGCATATATGGGCTTATATGCATAATCACTTTCAATTGAAAACAAAATACTCTATATTTTTTCAATTAAAAGAACCTTGTTGGAAACTGGCATTCGATTGATTATATTCTATAGGATCGTGTGGGGCCAAACATCTAAGATTTTCCTTTACCATTGTTAGCATCTTTAAAAAAATAGTAAAACATTTTTGTTCAGATACAGTAAAAGTGTTTTTTTTTTAAAAAATTGTTTATAAGTAATTTTAATATTATTATGGTAGAAAATTTGTAGTTTTTGATGTAAGTTTTTGTCATAATTAGTTATGTTATATAGAAATGGAAGCAATCAAGGTTAGCAAAAATTTGAACACTGGTAAATACATGGTTTTTAACAATGTAAACAAGTTTTCCAAAATACATTATGTTTAATTTTGTAAAACTTTTGTTTATAGCAAGATTTTGTAGCAATTTCATTTATATGTGTTATTAAAAGTGTAAGAAATCGACAATAAGCTATAATACAAAATTGGTTTTATTATTATTTATATTAAGTGAGGTTTTGAGTTTATTAAAAGGAGTAAAGTGTTTTATAAAATATGTTTCGTAGAATCACTTGAATTAAAAATCAGATTTTAAACTTTCTTTCATTTCAGCAGTTCAAAACTAGATATTGTAGGATAATTTTATCTGAAGAATTGTAAACAGTTAGAAAAATTTATAAAAAGAAATTAGGTAAAAAAAAAATGCTGAATAAACTTTTGTTGTTAATTATCTTAGTATTAATTAAATTTCAAATTCTGACATACTGATATATTTAAGGATTTACTTTAAAAGTTTATTTCTAATTATTAAATAATTATTAAGTTTTCAAGCATTACCATTATGAGTTAAATTTTACTGAAATTTTCTCAACTAAGTATAAATTTTTTATTGAATAAAATTTTTTATTTCAAAATTTAACCAGTTTTATAAAGGAAAAAGTTTGAATTTACATTTTAATGAAATATAATGCATTTTCTCTGGTGTAAATTTATTGAATATTTTTACAATTTGTATAAGATTTTACAATCTTTGCTTTTTCGTTTTTGTCGCCTTTGTAACAAATCTAACTTCTTTTTTTAGTACTATGATCTGGCTGCTGATGTTTTGGCCGAAAATGCTCATCTGACATATAAATATTTAACTCCTGTAAGTTTTTTTTCTTTAAAAATCAATAAAATGATAAATTAATTTTAAGAAAGATATTTATACACATTTTATCTATTACTTACCTGCAATTATTGTTTTTTATCGATAATAAAATAGCTTTTTTTTATAATATCTAATAGCATTGTTTTTTTAATACTCAAAGGTATTTCAAAGTATTTGTAAAGATTATTTTATCATCTATATTATATAAAACGCTAATACGTATGTATCAATAAAACCGATGATCTTTCTTTTCTCGTGTTGGCAGCAGTTTTCATTTTTAATTGATAGGATTCGGCGTGCAAGAGCACGTAGTGAGTATCATATGTCTAATCGGGTGAATTCTCACTGAATTATCAAGAACATATTCACAAAATTATCTTCATCGAAGCCGATGCTTTACATCCGGCGTTCAGTACTATTTCATATTGTTTTACAACACATGGTTTTAGCCCTCTGGTGGGAAAGACTTTAAAACAAAACTTACAACAGTTACTTTTCTCAACAACTGAAATTTAGAATAGTGTGATTAAGAAAAATATGTGAACTGTTTGCAATTTCAAATTAATATTGAAATGCACAGGTTTAGAATTTTCTACAGTGAAAAGTTTTCGGAACTTCAGTGTTCAAAAAAGTATACAAAAGCTAGACGTTAAGAACGTATCCAATGAGCGAGCAAAGCGAGCATCGGATTGCGAAGCAATCCGAAATGAACTGCGAAAGCAGTTCCGGGGGTTGGCGAGCGCCAGCGAGCAGGGGGCGAAGCCTCCTAGTTTTTATTTATTCTGAAATCAAACTTTAAATTTTATAAAATTTTTGATTTTATCCTACATTTAAAAATGTATATATTTAAAAAGGAGTATGCAAAAGCTTTAGTTATTAGTGTAATATTTGTATCATTTTATTTAATACAATATTTGAATTACTTACTTTCTAATTTTCTTCCTTCTCTAAGTTTCATTTTTATTAAGATCACTTATACTGCTGTACTTTTTCACAGTACTTGTTTGATTTCCTTGATGCTTTGATTACACAACAAACTTCACCAGAAGAAGCATACAAAAAATTCGATGAAATGGCAGCACGTCATATTGAGACATTAAGAAAGCTAACAAAACAAGTGCAGGAAGCTCGTCAGAACCATGATGATGAAGGTGTAAAAAAAGTTGTAAATGAATGTGAAGAGGCTTTAGAAAGGTTTGCTACTTTTTATAACTATTTATATTTGAATTTTTCTTATTTTGCAGCATAAAACAATTACTCAACCTAAACTAGAACGAAAGTTTAGGCTCAGACTAAAAAATTTTTTGACGATTACCTGTGTCCCTATAATTTAAGTCTTAGTTTAGATTCTAAGAGCAAAGTTCCTGCACAAATTGCAATTTCTGCAAAATGAAAATTTCGAATGTTTTCTCAATTCAAAAGATGTTGCCACATTAATTGAGATATCACTTACTAATTATTATTGTTGCAACATCATTTTAAAAATGAGTAAATTATGTTCTTAAAATTTTGTCGTAATAAGAACATAATTTCTTTGAAACAACAACCTATTGTGACTATAATATTTAATAAATGTCATAATAATAACAGAAAAAATTGGTATTTGGTGTATAAAATCAAATGTTTCCTATCAATTTTTGTAAAATTGTAAATCAAATAAGCTATCCAAAATATTTCAATAACCTAAGTGAATTGTAAATGTTTTCATTTGTTGTTATAATGCCATTAGTATATTTTAATTGATATGGTAATTTTTTTTAACTAGATACATACCCGTTTTGATGGCGCAAGCAAAGATTTATTGGGATATGGAAAATTATCAACAGGTGGAGAAAGTTTTTCGAAAATCTGTTGAATTTTGCAATGATCATGATGTGTGGAAACTTAATGTTGCACATGTACTTTTCATGCAAGAGAACAAATTTAAAGAAGCGACTGGTTTTTATGAGCCTATTGTTAAAAAGAATTATGATAAGGTGACTAAAGTTTTTGTATGAGTTAAATCATTTCTTGTAGCTGCGTCACAGGCTATTTGAGTAATATTACTGTTTGCAATCACCGCCATCATGCTTTAATGGCCAGGTTAAATCAAAAATAACCAGATTATTAAAAAATAAAACGATTTAATAGTTATTCACAATTACTCACATTGATTTGATTATAAGTTTTTGATAATAGGTTCTATTTACAAAATAAAGACTGAACTTGTTGCCAGTGATTGCAGTTTGTAGTAGTAAGAGGCATCTACCCTCGCCATTTTGGATTCTAAGTTAAATTTATAATTTGTGTTTTCTCGATATTTTTTTGTTCTTAACTTTTGATAATGTAGCTTTATGAGAGAGCACAATACCTTTCAAAAGAGGTAAAAAAATTAAGGGGTCGCTTTATTAGATTAGGAGAAATAACGCTTTATAGTTTTTAGAATTTCTATGAATTTTTCCTTAAAACTTTAAAGCAATAAAATTATGCGATTTGTGACTTTTATTTAAAACTACACGTTTCTCAGATTTTAGATTTTTGAAAAATCTGATCTTATTGCATTTTAAATTTATGAAAACCAATTTGGATGGTACTAAATTTTTTTTAAATTTTTTATTGTATAAAAGATATTCATAAAAAATCTAAAAGCTAACAACTGTTTACTTTTTGAATATCGTTCAAAAACTGTTGATTGTAGAATTGTATTGGCATAATTTTCTGAGAAAAAATTGATTAAGAATCTATGGTACTGCACACTTTATATCTCAAATTCTGATTGGGTGATGGCCTTATATTTAGCGTGTATCTGAAGAGAGTGCCAAATAGAGTTAATACCTACTCATCATCAGTTTATTTGCGAAAATTAAATTAAAAGGATTAAAAGCATATTTAGAATTTTCCCTCCTCGTCTCCACTCCTTCGACAGTGGAGTTGGGTTGTGAGAGGAAGAGCCTCTTAATAATATATACATATTTTAAAACTATTAATTCATCATAACTCCAATTTTTTTTTTCAGATTTTGAATGTGAGTGCAATAGTTTTGGCTAATTTATGTGTATCGTACATTATGACTTCTCAAAATGAAGAGGTAAGATATTTTTAAGATAAGTATTATAAACATGAGTTAACTAAATCACATTTTTATATTAAAATCATGATAATAACAGCTATTATAGTAAAAAATTTGAATTAGGAAGAAGTTGTCAGTAATGATGTTTAATTCTAGGCTGAAGAATTGATGAGGAAAATTGAAAAGGAAGAAGAACAACTAGCTTATGAGGAACCTGATCGAAAGATCTTTCATCTCAGTATTGTGAATTTAGTTATTGGGCAAGTTGCTTAAAATTACTTCAAATATACTTGAGTTTCAATTTTAAATGTCAGGATATAATCATTTTTGAGATGTAGGTAGATAAATCTGTTTGCATCTGTAAAAAGTGTAGTTAACAATATTAATGGCAAATGAAAACCTCTAGATTTGATACCCATTAACAAAAACCATTATTGGATGTATGTAAAATTTGTATAAAGAGATAATGAAAAATTAATCATACAGATTTTTAATGTGGTTTCTAAAATTTTTAATTTCTTGAGAAGTACTTTTTTTGAATCAAATGCTAATGATTTTTTGTTTTGTTTTTAAATGAATGAGTATTAAAAGTTAATAAATTCCTGTATGCTTAAGGCTTTAAAGTAACTATTACTAGTTTTACTATTTTTTATTTTCTCTTAATTATTTGTTGTGTAGTGAGTTTGTGTTGTAGTTTTTGCATAAGGGTTGCATGAGGTTTTGTTGTTCAAATTACTTCATACTTAATTTCAAAATGTTTCTTTTAACATGATATTTCTATTCATAATATATTATATAATGTAACAATTGATCGTCTAAAGAATATTTTATATTCTTTATATTATGAACTTAAAATTTACTCTGATGAAAATTTATGTTAAAGAGGTTTTTTTGGCTCTCTTTAAAGTATACTTAGCTATTATAATGAAACACTTTGCATGCTATACAATATAGTTTATAATCTTATTTTAATAAATAACTTGTTTATGTTTACAGAACTTTGTATTGTGCAAAAGGCAACTATGACTTTGGAATTTCTCGTGTTATTAAAAGCTTAGAACCATATGGAAAGAAACTTGGAACTGATACCTGGTTTTATGCTAAACGATGCTTTCTCTCACTCCTAGAGAATTTGGCAAAACAAGTTTTTGTCATAAGAGATGCTGTGCTATATGATTGTTTACAGTTCTTTTCTCAATGTGAAGGTAAGATTTTAATTATTTTTTATGTAAATATTAGAAAAGAATTGAATTTATCGAATTGAATCTATAAATCTCTTCAGCGTTTATGAGTACGAAAATAAATGTATATAAAATACATGGTTTGAACAAAACGTTTCTAAATTCTAAAATTACTTTTTATTGTATTTCATGTAGTAAACAAATCGAATGTGTTAATCCTATATTTTTTAAACTACTTGTTAATGTCAGCCAATTCTCGCAACTGCTTACGTAGTTACTTGATACCTTAGTATTTATTCGTTGATTTGATAAACAAATGGAGACATAAAAGTATGTGGTAGCAAAAAATCCTAATTCTATTGCCAATATTTCACACTGAACTGAACAGTACAATATAAAAATAAAGACATATTTAACATAGAATAACATATTTAACAAAATATAACTAACCATAACTATAAGTTAATGTCTACATCAATAAATTCTTCATATCAGAATGTTCCTTAGAGACATTAAGA